TGTGTATGTATAAATATATATATACGTGTGTATGTGACTTACGTTTTGCTCCTCCTTCCTCTGAAATTTTTCCCTCTCCTACAAACATTTTTTAAATTTTAAAGGACATTTCAAAGTGAAGTATTTTCATTAGCACGCGTAAGGTGGAAGAAGAAAATTAAAAAAAATGGCAAAGCGATGTCGCCGTTGCTCCCCTTTGCTGCTCCACCGCGACACTGACCTCGCACAGCTGGAACTGCCTCTTTACTTTCTCCTTGTTCACGTATATCTTGTTTTCAACCCATAGCAAAAATTCGTCGATCTCTTCCTTGGTCTGCAAAGGAGGCCAACGCAACGACAGAGAGGGGAATTAAGCATATGTATAAGTGCATACGCATGTGTAGAGGGAACCTTCATTCTTATTTGTACGCATAATGGACGCACGCCCAAATAAATTACCGAGTTCAGCAGATTCTCTTCCATTTCGTAAACAAAGACGCAACCACTGGAGTCGCCAATGATAATCTTGTTGTATGAATACTTGTACACGTCTTTGAATGGGAAGCGAGGATATGTCAATACACCAATGGATTCGTGCATCTACGCATACGTACAGGTGCACAATCGAAGTTACACTAATTATGACTCCTCAACACAAATAATTTGAACCCGTGGGAAGAGCGAATTCAAAGTTAGCGTCATTTTAAGAGTGCAAGCTATGCAGAAGTGTAGGAATGGGACGATTAGGCGGGTTCCAAAGGGATCTAACTGTATACTATTTCGTGTTTTTAAAATTTTTTTTCTTTTCCTACCATCTTCATTTTTACTCATCAAATACTCGTTCGTGTCTACAAATGTATCCGAATTTTCGCCGGACAAGTCGTCATTCAGATCCTTTTGGACATTTTCTTTTTCCACGGTACTAAGTATGCTAGTGTCACAATTTTGGAAAATGCTAATACATGTCAAGCTGTAGCTGCTGATCGATAAGGAGTACAAGCAGTGATTTTTTTGCTCCATCAAATTCCATATTTCTATGTGTCCATTTATTTTCCCCACGAATATGACGCTTATTTTGGTCTGACTGAATTCGCAACAGGAGTATATTTCGTTGCTTCTGCGGGGTGTGATGGTCGGCATGGATGCACTCGGGTTAGCAGGTTATTCTATTGGTTTAGCGGTTGCTCCTTCGGATCACCGTTGAATCGTTCATTTGGTGCATTTGTGAGCTGCTCATTCGGTGCATTTGTGAGCAGCCGCCTTTTTCACATTCCTCGGCGTTGTGATGTGCAAACGATGGAACCCCGCCAATGGTGGACTCAACTAGCACGTAAAAAAAATGGCACACAAAGAAACAACAACAGATGCATGTGCAAACATGAATAAAAAAACACTCGTTAGCCTACTTTGGTGATACATACAGGGGGTGCTCCTCATTTTCTTTCCACAGGGAAAAATTCGTATCAGTTAAGGTTAGAATCAAATTTTTTATGATGTTGTTTCTTTTTACACATATGAGTGTCTTGAAGCTTTTGTAGTCCTTTAGTGGGAGGGGGGAAAATAATCAGAATAGATGAAGAGAACATAGTCAAGCTTGGCTTTTCCCCTTTGGGAGAAATGTAAAAAAACTCTCTCTGTGATGTGTGCACTTAATATGGAGAAGTTGGATGCGCAGTGCTTTAGGTCACTAGGATGTGAATCGACACCAATACAGACGTATAGTTTGATGGCCAACAGAATTGAACAGAGGTATTATCTATGTGACTGTTTTTCGTTTTTTCCTTCCTCACATCGTTTATTTTGTTTATAATAGAATAATTTTTTTCCTTTTGCATGCACCCGTATATGTTTCCAACTACGTATTCTCCTTCTTCCTGCAAAGGTGAAGTGTCGAACGTGGAATCTGGTGTGGAGGAAATTGCGCAGAGAGGCGGGGACACAACTTGGCCTCAGCTTCATCCGGAACTACAGTCGCTGTCGTATTAGTAGTCGTATTAGTGGTCGTATTCGTAGTCGCTTGACCAAAGGGTGGCGTGTTAAAAGACAAAACAATAACGATGGCAGTGTAATAGTGACGACAACTAGCAACAAGGAAAGAGTACACATCTCTGCGCAAAGGGCTCTGGGTCGGGGCCGCTAAACCAATCAGAAATAAATTACCGAAAAGGCAAAGAAAGAGGACACGTTGCAATTTAATTCCACAAAATGGAAGTAGGTGAAGCCTAATGAGTACTCTGGGAGTAGTGCAGTAGATCAAATGGCATTTCGTGAGTGGGAGTTCACACTGGCATTGTGGTTACTCTTACGCGTGCGCTTTTGTGCTTGTTGGATAATAGGATAGCAGTAGCTGATATACGCTTAAGTGATCTGCCCCAATGAAGGGGGGTAGGCTGCTACCTGTGTTGGGTCTGGTAGAATTTATTTTGAACAGAGGCTTGAAGCTGTATAGGTCATCAACTAACTCTTTTTCTTTCTTCTTTGCGCTAACTTTTACTTCGATTATTTCTATGTTTGTGGCGTCCCAAAGGAGTATCGTCCCATCGACTGAGGAGAAGGTTTGTGTGTGTGTGTGTATGGGGGGGAGAGGAACCAAAAGGAATCACGCGTTGTGGGTCTATACACGCAGGCATACAATCATGGAAGCTTACAGAAATGAAAAAATATATGCATACATATGTACGGGTTCCCATTAATGCTCTTCCTAGCCCGTATTGCAAACAGGACAAACGAGAGCATACCCGAGATGGAGATCAACAAATGGAAATTCTTCTGATTGTTAATAGATATTTTTTTTTCGCATATCACTAAGGTTTTGTCATTCAGAAGTAGAAGACATGTCACTTCCCTTTTGTGTGAGTGCTCTATGCTGCTAAATATATAGGGTTCTATGTCGACCGTTTTTTCATCTAAATAGGAAATGAAGCGGCGAGGTGGTATAGGTTAAGAAGTGGTAGTGAGGTAGATATGTAAACTTCCTTTACGCATTCTTATCGACATATATACACAGGTATTCATTTTTGTACTTATTTTGGAATCTAAAAGGGGTTTTCCTTGAAAATTGGGGGGGAGCTTCCAAACGACTAGCTGTGCAGAGGTGAAGGTTTTTTTTTTGGGGAGAGGGGGAGTAAAATATACGGCATAGAAACAGTAGTAACGTGTTAGAGAACATATTTATGAGTGATGGGTGAATATGTGTTGTTCGGTTTGTCGAACTAAAGGATCCGAACCAGTCCGTTGCTACATCCAGCAATGACGACATCGTAGCCCTTTCCGTTTACAACCGCACTGGAAATTTGCTGCACGGAAGGAATAATTATTTTGAATGGTGAAGAGGAGTGTGTGTGGTGTGTCATCATGGGCGGTAGCATTCGGTTAGTTCGCCCAGTTCGTTTAACTGTAGTTCGCGACATTTCATTCTATATTTCACGTGGACTCATCTGAGTTCGCTCTGCTTTATTTGTGAAATCACTCTGGAAAAGGCCTGTGAAATGCTCTCCGAATGAGCGCTCCTCATTTCGCTTACGTAGGGAGATATCAAAGCGTAAAGTGGGTTTATGTAGTTGGAGTAGGACCAAATGAGGATGTAGCTGTCCGTGTTGACTCCTTCGATAAAATTGTCGTTTTTGTAATTATTCACATATATTATAAAGATGAGGTAGTTTATTAAGGACAAGTACAGCGTGAACAAGACTACTTTATCTGTTGTATATTTCACATCTGTGTATATAAATATTTTGTTTAATTTTTTGGCATGCTTAAAGGACAGTATATCTATGTTTTGAGAATTGGGTTGTCCATTCGTTTCCGTAATTAGGCTATTTTCAATTAGGCATTTTTGCATGACGGGGAAAAGCTTATGAAGAAATTTCTGCAGCTTATTGGATCTGAATATTTCTTCTTTTTTTTTCTTTAAAAAGTCGATGTTGTACTGAACTCCTAAATTTTTGTACACTGCCTTGTACGTCTGGCAATTTTTTTCCTCATGGATGATGGAATTGTTTGAGAAAAAATCTAACGTTTTCGCCTTCACTATTGAAGTGGTCTACAAGTGAAGGTTAACAAGGTGGAAGGCACGGAATAAAAAAGTGGTAACTGTCTTGTGTGAATAATATGAACACTTTTTTTATTCATTGTCTCGTCCGTTTGTCAACCTTGTTTTTTTTTTTTTTCATTTTTTTTTTCACTTTTTTTGGTTACCAGTTCGTTTCCCTTGATGGGTATGAAATGATCGTACTGAGTAAACTGTACCTCGGCTCCTACTTTCTTCCTTTTGCTGATATAGAGACACTTTTTGAATTTCTTCCTATTTTCTGTGATTCTGGTTGATTTTATTTCCTGTTCAATTTGTTGCTTGTACAGCGAAAGGTAATTTCGGGGCTTTATGAAGACGCAGCTTAGCTCCTGTTTGTCCGCTCCATTTTGGTCTGCTGACGGGTCGGACGGGCGTTTGCCCTTCTGCGAGGGAGATGATGCGGAAAAATAAGTTCTAGATAATGAACAGATGAAATGGGCCCGATTAGAGAGGGTTAGAGACCCTCGGTGAGGTGGGCAAAATAGAGGTGACAGAAGAAGGGAGGACAAAAAAGAACTGTACTTGTAGGAAGTAGGAAAATATCTCCTCGTCGACAATGACGGCGTGATTTCCTTTGTAGTATTTTTTCGAATCTTTGAAAATTAATACGTCGTCCAGTTTGTATTTCTGAAAAGGTCAGAGGGATTCAACAAATGGTATGGGGGCCAATTTGAGGGCATCTTCGAGGATGGAAGCGCGAATGAGGTCGCAAAGGCCATCTCAAACGGGGTAGTATATATATATATATGTGTCTCCGCTTCTCAGTCAGAGCGATGAACATTTTTAGATGACGCCCAAAGCTGGAGAGCAGATCTAGACACGCGGAAATGCACACATGTGTGTGCGTGCAAGTCGACGCTCTTACTATTAAGGCATTCTTGATTGAAAGCAACTGGTCAGTGGTCAGGTACTTTTGCGCGAGGGAGAAGAAGTAGTTTTTATTTATGCAGGAAGCTTGCGAGTTCTTAAAAATAAGGGTACTGAAGTCCTTGCATAAGTCTATCCCCAGAAAACTTTTGACATTTTTTTCTAGCTCTACGTTTACGGCACTGCATGGAGGAAAACATGAGAAAGGTAAAATGGAGGAATTCACCTATTGGAGCATCACATGGTAATTCCTTCCATTTGGTGAACATGCATTTTCGTTGGAGCACACCTTTTGTAATTGCCTGCCCGTTGACGTAGCTACAGATATATGTTTGTTTACTATAATCTCGCTGCACGATCCTGTGTAAAGGCGGTTGTCTATATTTCGTTCATGTTGCAACAATCATGACTACTTTCTTTGCCTATCTGTGCTGTCGTGCGACAACATTAACAAGAATTAACCTTATTAACAAATTAGCGTTTTTCGGGTGTGCCTTGGCATCGGCAAAGTTTTCCGTTTCCTTGTGTACCACGCCTAGGTCGGACAGGGTTCTATTCTTTAAAGTGTGTTGCTTTTTATCGGCACTTGCACCTTTCACTTTCGTGTCATTTTCGTTTTTTTTTTTTGTTTCATTTGTTTTTTTTTTTTCATCATTATCTCTTTCACATTTGTTTTTCACATCAAGTTCGTTTTTACTTTTGGAGTCTACTTTTTCCAATTTGTTTTTACTGTCAGTTTCGAGTTTTTTTTTACTCATATCATTTTTTTTTTTTAAATGTTCTTTTCGTCCATGTTCAGTTTTTTCACTGTCTTTTTTTTTCTTTGGAATTTTTTTCTCACTAGAATTGGAAATGACATGCTTGCCCTTCATCATTTTTTAAGTATTGCGCGTAGGAGGGATTTACAAAACGTTTTGTTTTTACTGCTTACGTTTCGCAGGGTATGCAATAAAAATGTACAGTGAAGTTTTACGCTTTCTGTAGTATTGGGAATGACGCAGGGAAAGGGGGGAAATAAACGATGACAAAAAATTAGGACAAGTTTGACGTGTGGATTCTAACATGGGCGCAATGGACAGATGAGTCATATTTGCCTTTGGAGTAAATGTGGGTAGGCACCCCGGAATGAAACTTAACAAAGTGTAAAAAAATCGGCGCGCAAAAAATTACCGCAGGAGAGTCTATTAAAGGCTACTCTGTCGTGTGCGACGCTTGTTCAGCGGCGAGAGGTGAATAAGAAAGAAAAAGAGAAGAGAACATTTTTGGCGATAATTAAATGTGGGAGCACATATGGAAGTTTTAAATGCATTTCTTAAATTAAGCTATTCACGCAAGAGGTGGCCACATAACAAATGTGCCCACTGCAAACTATGCAAAATTGAAGCTTTGCCAAAAATGGTAAAATAACGTGAAGGTTAAAGAGGGATGTTTTGCTTCTATTTTTTTTTTTTTTTTTTTGCTTCTATTTTATTTTTATCAAATCCTGCTCCAGCGCGGACAAAATGGCCTGTATATATTTTTTATTCCTTAACAATTTATCCTTATTTTCATTTAATTTTCTTTCAACGTAAATTTTGCCATCATTTTCCTTGGAGGCTTTATGCAGTACATAAAGACCGTAGATACTCACCTTTGGGAGGAAAAAAAAAAAAAAAACGGAGAAAGTTTTCATCCTATAGGGAAATATCAACAGAGTCGTCGACTACAAAATTTTGAATGCGTAGAACACGAGCGCACGCGTACCCCTACGTATAGGTTCATAGGTCTACACTCATAACACACACTGTCGTGTGCGCATTTCTACGGAGCTCATTATTTCATTGTTTGTCTCTCCCCGAACCAAATAAAATACAGAGTGGGTGACTGAACCGATAGCAAAGAAAAAACCCGTCATGAATAGACCCAGAATTTCTTTATTTCTATAGCCGTTGGAATTATTTTCAGTTAATATCTACAAATGGAAGAATGTGAGATGAATGAAAAGGAATGCGTACTGGAATAATTGCTGAGTGTTGAAGATTTGGAGGGGATGGATAATTACAGAAAAAAAGAAAAATGAATGCATGAGTAGGCGCGCCAGATTGGGATGAACAATTGCAACATGTGCGTGCGAAACGCCTTATAACGTCATAGTGTGTATATGCGCGCTTCTGTGTACTTGAATTTTCTCCTCCGTCAAGTTCGACTTAACAGTTAGCAGAGCATTTAATTCATCAAAGGCCTTTCGGAATTTGGCCTTTTTTTCTTCATTCAAGCAGTTACAATTGCTGTTGACTAACTGAGATGTAAAGGTGGGTGAAGGGGGGAAATGAAAAGCTTGACGCGGTTGGGCAAGCTCGCAAGTGCGCGAAATGGCACCATGGCACATTAACAAAAGGCAAGCTCGTTTAACGTAAAAAGGCGTGCTAGAACCGAAACGATGATCTGCCCAAACGAAGGTGTGCATGTCATTATTGGACAATACGATTCTGTGTTAGCGAAAATGCTACAAGCTTCTTATCTTAGTCGCCCACGTATGCCATATACGCTCCACCCAAATGTGCAACAGTTAAAATCCCCGGTCATGAGCATAAAGCATACGCGAAATGGTCATGTGCTACGCCATGTGTGTAAAAACCCAATGCGGAAGCAGTTGTTCCATGGGGAGGCGGGTAATTGGAGTTGCTCCACGCGTATAAGGCCACACCTAAATGTGTATATATGTACAAAACTACATAAGCATGTGCACCCCTCCACATACATATACAGGCGTATGCCTCAGATTATGCTCAAATACATCATGAAATTCGCTTGGTTAAAGGGGTTTACCTCTTGAAGTGAATACAGAGAGCCCCTATCCAGTTCCTTCTGGGCTTTTCGTATGGAGTCGATTATTATTTGTTCTGAAATGGGCTTCTTTTGCATCAGGAGGATGCTGTGCTTGGAGGGGAAATCAAAATGGTTCAAATTTTGCAAACTGTTCAGTTCTGTCAAAGCAGTTGAGTACTTTTCATTTATCCAAAACTTGGCTGATGAACAGAATGTTTTTTTCACGAATTGCTTATTAATTTTTCTCCCACTTGTGTTAAAAAGAATATCTGTGTGTGAATGCATTTTTATTTTTTTTTTTCTCCTCGCAATTGTTGTTACACAAAATGTGTTTTTTAGGCATTTCCCTTCACACGTTTGGCACGCTTGACACTTTTTACACCTTGGCACTTTTGACACGTTTGACACCCTTCGTATGTATCTTATCCTTCCTGTTCTCTACAGGTTGCATTTGATCTAGTTATCACGTTGCGAAAAAATAATTTACGTTCATGTGCAGAAATCGCAGTGCGAGTCATCATTATAAAACCTTGTAAACGTGTACACCTCAATTTTTGAACTCACCTCTGCTCGCTTTGTTTTTAACTTGGAAGCATTTCTGCTCATGTGCAAAAGGCCCAGCCTTTAAGTGTTTACCTGTGATGCTGGATTGCCCATTTGAACAATGAACGGGTGAAGCCCCTACGGTGCAAATTTGTAGGTCGCTAATGAATCGGGTGAACTGCAATCTGTTAATCTCCCAATCTGTGAACGGCTCAGCTAGGAATTGCTAAATTGCTGAACGCAAGGTACCAATTTTCTAACTCGTGAAGAGGCATATTTTCCTTTTTATGTTAGCATGCATTTATATGTTCAGTTCAGTTGACACAATGTGAATAAGTACTCGCAGAAGTTCAAAAGTTAACGGAAACACTGAGACATTACATGACAAGCCATAACTCACACTTAACCATCAATTTCCGTAAACATTTATTTTTGCGAAAATTGTTCGTGCGTAACTCTATTTTTTCATGCTTTCCAAGCGATTGCCATGTCACGCTTTGTCATAACGTATCCATCCTTAAAGCGACTACGATAAAAAGGATTTACATAAACATATAATGGCATGCATCATATGAGTATACATATATATATATTTTTTTTTTCCATATATTGTATACAATATATATTTCTTTTTAAGAAAAAAAAAAAATTATAATAAATACATTTCCCTTTGCTTTAAAAAAAACATACTAGGATGCATACTCGTATGTTTAACACTTTCTAAGTATGTGAATAAATATGTGACAAACCCTTTCTTTTGCTTTTCTTTTTCACATTGTAAAAAAAAAAAACCAAGTTTTTTTCCCTCGCATTTCTTTAAATCCAAAGATTTATACTTTTAAATTTTACATACAAAAGGAAGGAAGAAAAAAAAAAAAAAGAGCTGAAAAGCCGAATTAAGGATAGTAATAAGTTTAAGTGTTCACATTTTGATTAAAGCTTTTTCCCATTCTTCTGATTCCTCGCATTGTTCGCATTCTTTGCTTCCCTTTCACAAATAGAACGAAAAAATGGGGTCCTCCATCCAGCCATCAAGATTTTTAGATAGTAAGAACCCTTGAAGAAGAAATGTGCTTAGCTTGAATTGTTATGTTACATACGTGTACATATACATACCTGTTCCTATACATAACTCTACATATACCTACCTGTACGTATTCATACCTTTACGTATTCATACCTGTACGTATTCATACCTGTACGTATTCATACTTGTGCATATACATACCTCTACATATACATACGCGCATACGTACTTTTGCAAATAGTGTTACAGATATACGTGTTATCATATGAATGTACGAATTTACCCCTGTGTGAAGTAATTTCCCATCAATTCCTCCCTCGTTTATCAGCACAAAGCGCGCATTCGTCTGACACGTGTACATTTTATAAACCCGTTCGTATAAGAAAGTGTATATTTTGTGTGTTCCATGGTGCTATATAATTGTGTTGTGTAACCATGTGTATATATAATAGGCGGGGGTGTTAAAATTGTGAAAACGAGCACTCCCCCCAAAAAAAGTTTTCTTCATGATTATGCGCGACCCAACATGCCACTTCGCACACTTTCGCGCACCTCTCCCATTTGAGGAACTTTCCTCACAGTTTACGTGCCCTTTTACGTATATTCCGCCCATCCGCAGGTGCCGTGCTATCCTTGTTTGCTATGGTCATTTCGGCAGCATTCCTCTACATGTTTTCGGAATTTTATTTGTTATCATTCGAAGCGAAGTTACTTAACAACAAAATAAGCATGGTCTTGTCTCGTTTATTTCCATTCAAAGTAAGAAACGCGAAAATGAATAATGAGAAAGTAAGAGAGCCAAAAAAAAAAAAAAAAAAAAAAAGATTTGGTGTATGCACGTAAACATGCACGTGTCGCATTTAAGTAGAACGCTGTGTACATATGTGTGTATGTATGAAAAGAATTATTTTCTTTAATGATTGAACTAAGCCAATTTTGTTTTTTTCCTAGAAGACCTTCGAGTACAACCTGACCCACATATTGCTCCTGACAATATGCATAATCATCCTTAGCCTCAAGTAAAGCAACAAAAGATGAGATCACACGGAGCTGTTCACTAACTGCGCATCCAGGAGTTCTTGCTGCAGATTTGTGTGTGTGCCTATTTGAGCATGCATAGTTATGCCATCATCCGTAAACGTACTTTATGCATTTTTTCATCTTCCCTTTTTTTTTTTTTTCCATGCACTCTGTAGGCCTGATTATAGCTTCCACAGCAAGGTGCCCCTTAAGGAATGCAAAACAAGCCAGAGGAAGGAAGATTCGCACAAAGTAGAAGACCTTGATAGAATGCAAAGAGACAAGAAAAAGTGAATGCCAACCGAAACGTAACGACGCACTCGCATGGGGAATACAATCAGTGAATTCATTTTGCAGTCTATATATATATGCAGCTGTATATGTGTACGGACGTGTATATATATATCTTATGTCACATATATGTATATGTTTGTGTGTATGTATATTCGCGCACATGTATATGTATGTGCATAATACTGTATAATCCATTTCTGTGCTATGGCGAAACTATGTGTCCCGAGTTTTTGCGCTTGTTTTACAAAGTCGGAAAAAAAAAAAAAACAATAAATAAATAATCAAGAAAAGTGGAGAAAAAGAAGTGGTCAAGTAGATAAACGTCTAATATGATAAAAAAAAAAAAAAAAACACTTTTTTTTTCAATAGGAAAAAGCAAATTTTTTATAAATTATGCAATATAAGTTATTTATTGAATTTTTTTTTTTTTTTAAATGTATGCATAAGACGCCACATTTAAATAAAGCAATAAATTTATACATGCCTATATATATATATATATATATACACATACATATACCTGTATGTATGCACATCTCTACGCATGTTTAAAAACTCGTCGAAGTGTACATGCCAAAAAAAAAAAAAGAAAAAAAAGTTGGAAATTAAAAAAATCGGCAGTCAGAAATACATGAGGAATTGTTATTTCCGTGGCGGTGTATATTTGCCCGGATCAAGTCCACGCTGTGTTCTCGCTAAAGAGGGTCATAATTGTATCACCAAAGGTATCATATATGGTTTGGCTAGTGTTAGAAGAAATAAACGTTCTATGTATTTTGTTAATAATGTAAAAGAATGTAGATACGTCTTCAATCAAGGGGTATATCGGGTAGTTGTGCGTATCGTTTGTAAAAAGTAAATTGCAAATATGTTTGTTCTCATCCAGCTCGATACGCTTACAGCTGCGCGAGGGGGTGCATGTGTTCTTGTGTTCATGTTTGTTTTCTTCACCTTGGTTAATTTTTTTTGCAGTTGGATCACCATTACTAACGTTGTGTCTATTGTCAATGGTACTGCAACACTCGCTCTCATGGGGATTGGTCCTATCCAATTCGTTCGCTCCGTTTTGGCGAACATGTGCTCGCTCTACCTTAATTTTCTCTTCTATACTCTCAAATATTTTTCTATAGTGTTCTGCATTTTGGTTAATCATCTTGACAGTGTCCTTCCTATACACTGTTGGTTCATATTCATAGTATGCGCAATAAATAACTCCTTCTTTGATTAATAAATCGTTGAAGGTTTTTACGAAGGACTCTCTTTCGGCGTTCTTACGTTTGGTTTGCTCTTGCCCGTGCGTGACTTTCCCCGTTTGGTCTCCCGGTGCCTGTTCCTCGTTGTTGCGGTTCAGTTCGTGTTCGCGATTGGGAGTATTTCCCCTTAAGGGGCGATCACTTGTTTGCTCCTCTATTTTCGCATTTTCTTCATTAGGGGACTCTCTTTTATCGGTTTTCCCCGACTGAGACGCCTCCTGTGCTTTACAGATACTGAAAAAGTCGACAAGGGCGCTGTGGAAACTTTCATTAAAGGGAATATTGACAGGTAACTCCGAGTCCGCAGGTGGGTTACTACTGCCTTTGTGTTTTTTAACGAACAATTTTAAAATATCAAATAGGAAGCAGAAGTTTAGCGGTTTCTGATTAGTTGGGAAGTCGTTGTTTTTTTCGGGATTGTTACGGTTGGCCTCTTTTTCCTTCTTCCAATTTGTTGGAATGTCTGTAGGTTCGATGGGATCCTTTAAAATTTCTAGGTAGGTAAAGTATGTCATGAAAAAACCCGGGGGACACGAACCACTATTATAGTCTAACTGTAAAATATGTACAGAATTGCTCAAATTATTTATCTTCCTTTTTTGTCGATGCCCTAATTTTGGCTGTTTGTGTATATAAAAGGATAAGCCGTCTTTTCCAATAAGTGAGTACGTACTTAGGACAACCAGCCTATTTGTTTTAATCAGCGTCTTTGCCTTTTTAAGGTTTTTTTTGCAAAGAAGGTGTTTCTTCATTTCGTAAAAATTTATGTTAGATCCGGATGATATAACAAATTTTGGCCTAATTATATATCCATTGTCTAGGAGAACTGCGTCTACCTTTGCGCAGGTAGACAAGGGAGCCATGCCGTCTTTCTTTATACTTTCCTCTGTGTAATCGCAGAAAGAGGAAAAAATTATGTCGTCTATTTTTCTGTTAATCATGTAAACGGAGTTGTTTAGACAGGCCACTCGCGATATTGCATAGATAATGTCGTTTTGCCCATAGGACGGATAAATAAAAGCATTCTCAAACAGGTTCTGCAGTTTGAATTTATTTAACGAGTTGATTAAAATGTGCAGCCGTTGGATGAACTCCATTTTATTCATAATAAATCGTTTCTCCTTGGTATATCCGCTGAGGTAGTACTCGGAAATGTCACTATTATTGCAGTGCTCCATTTCTAGGTCGAACAGACCTATTCCGTACATGACGTAGTCTGTTAGCTTTCCTGAAATGTTGTACGATTGCAGGTAGTCCGCAATGTTGACATTTGAGTGTTCTTCGGGGAGGTACGGGGGATTGTCATGATTGAAATGGTCAGCAGGGTGAGCTTGATTTGCCTGCGGAGCCTTTTGTGATTCCCCTTTTCCGCGGGGGACGTCTCGATTCTGAGTGCCACCTTTCTTGTCCCCCCAAAGGGCGTACCTGTCTGGAGTTCCCTGCTTATTTTTGGTGATTGTTGGCCCGCTATGCCGCACGACCATCCCCTGTTCCGTCACATTTGCCTTCTTTACAAAATTGTAATTGGAAAAATTGGAAAAGGTGTAATTCTTATCGTGAATAATGTTCTTGTAAATAAAGTTCATAATCATTCTTTTTTCAATGAGCCTTAGGTTTGTGTCAAGGAAGACCTGCGATTTGTTTAGAGGAATTTTTAAGACAATTAAATCGTTTTCGTCCTCATGATTATTATTACTACTGTTTAGGTTCTGCATATGAGTTGTTATGGGGTTGTTCTCCTCTTTATTCGCGTATATTTCGTTTGCGGCATTTCTTGGAGGGTTTACATTGTGCTGGTCCGTTTGATCGACTACAGGGTTGTAGCTAACCCTATGGTACGTCAAGTAAAAGTACTGTATTCCTACAAAACTGATGTATGTGTGTGCATTTAACGTTATCAACAAATCCACGATGTTGCTTTCATTGTATAATATCTTGGGGTTAAGGTCAATATTAAACCTGTTATTATTTATTTGGAAAAAGCTGTGAACTATTTGTTTGAGATTTTTTTTTTTTTCTACGTGGTTATCACTTCTGCTAGATGAGAGGGGCAGATATTCCTCGTAAAAATTCTTGAGATGAAATTTTTCATCTTCAAATTGGTTGAAATTCAAGGAACAGTTCACATCACCATAGAACTTATTCTTGTCAATGTTTATCACCTTGTAGTTGTTAATGGAGAAGTAGGCTGCTAGTAAACTGTTCTGTAGGCTGGTGCCACATATCAAAATGTCGCAGTCGAAGGTTGTGTTCTTCTTGTCATCCATTCGACGAATCAGGGGAAGGAGGGGCTCTTTTTCCGTTATGGGAGTGGGGAGTAAGCCAAAAAAATAAGTTGCCTGATGGAGCAAAATGTTCACTCTCTACATTGGGATCAATACAAATGTGATTTTTTTTTTCTTTTTTTTCCCTTACAAAATGTGCATTTTTTATGCCGAAAAGAAAGGGACAGTGTTGTCGGATGACCCGCGGTAGAGAAGTGATCCAGTTGGCCGATTCACGCTGCTAATGTTTTTTCTACCCAGGTTGTTTTTTCTTACATCTTTTACCCTTTTTCAGGTATTGGGTCAATCAGATGCTTGCGCTGGCACATCATTCGTAAATTTTGGCGGCAACGCAAAGCCATTTACATGCGCCGCTGTGCCATGCCGCGCATATGGGTAGCGACGTTATGCCGAATGTGGCTAAATAGGGATTGCAGTTTGTTAAGCGCATCAGAGAATTTTGCTAATTTTTTGCCAATTCATTTTTTTTAAGTGTGCATGATTTTTCTTTTTTTTTTTTTTTTTCTTTATCATTTCCTTATACAAAATAACACAGGGAAATGTGCCCATTGAAAGGCGTGAGAATAAGGCAAGTAGAGGAACGCGTTATCAAACACCCTTCATGTGATTGCTAAACGATATTTTTTAGATAAATTGCGTCTGCTGTGTATGAAATAACAGAAGAACATGTTTGTTTCTTTCGATTTAGCCCTCACGAAGCACATCAGAAGAAGTTTTTTGACGCTAAGTGGTAAGAAAATGGAGAGAGCACAACAGAACATGACGTGACATCACAATTTTGAACATATGCATAAAGGGAGTCCATGATAAGTGTAAATATGCACATACCTAATTAGGCGAATGTATGTATGTTTATCCGATGGATGCTAATTTTTCAGTTTTAAGGAAATAATCTTACTTATGTAGTGATGAACTTTCCGTTGCTTTTATTTTTTTAGGCGTTCTGCTCTCAAAAAGGACATGGCAGACCAACATGAAAAGGAAAACCTACAGGTCCAAAAAAAAGAAGAAGTACATCAGGCTTGGAGAAACACTAATTAGGATTCAGTGAATTAGTGGCCACCTTTAATGAATAATCGGTTAGCCTTAGTGAATAATCTCTGTTACCTTTATCTTTTTTTTTCGTTTTGCCTTTATTTAAACTTGGCCGACCTATGAATATATCCCTTTTGTGTATTATGCTTCCCCCTTCTGGGGAAACTATTTGACATTTTTTTCTGAACATCCGTTTTTTAGCCCGTCTTTATAGAGTAAAACCCATATGTGCAATCACAGCCATGGTACAGAGGCACCTTTCGTTTACACTGTCTTAGTGGCAGTCCATCCCTAAGCCTTTTTCTTACCCACCTTCTTCTTCTTCTTTCGCTTCCGCTTAACGAGCTTTAGATTTATTTGCTTCAATACTTCCCCATCAACTCTGTAAATATGGAAGCAAATCGGTGTAAAGAAAAATACACAACTGCTAAAGTGTGGGGAAAAAAAGTAAAGCCAATGCGATGAAAATTTTAATAGCCAGCGAAAAAGGCCACGTAAGTTTTTTAAGCTAAATCTGTGTTTCCAAACTAAACTATTCATGCGATTACTCGTGAGGTAGCTTGAAAATGGAAATCGACTTATTAAAAGTCATAGCGTCATTTATTTTGGCCAAATTGTTATTTTCGACGAAGTTCCCAATTAGAGAAATGCTCCAGATGTTCTGCGAATATGTTCAGAAGGGGGAATCCATTAGTCATGCATACAGCGGTAATTGATTTGATTCAGTTCGGTGCTAAGTTCATCAGCTTTCGTGTGTAAATTGGTGAGGTCATTGCACTTGTCGGGGGGTATACAATTTAAAATTTTGCAGTGCTTACAAAATGGAAGTTTCTCTTCCTTTCCCCTTTTT